AGTAGGAGCACCCCCGAAAATGATGCATGGTTAACATGAAAAGTGGAGTGGCAAGAAAAATAATAAAGTGTTCCCCCGACGTCCTCCCTTGTTGCTAGGATAATTGGTACCCTGCGGAAGACCCATGAACAAAACGAGGACTCTACTTCTGTACAGTCCCTCGCACTGACAGCAGGAAAATTCTGCACGATGTAGGTGGGCGTTGAAATTTGAAAGCGCTTGCTGAAATGCACTTTGGCTGCAGGTAGGTTTAGTCTTCGCGCTTTCAGAGTACAAACCTGTTCCTTTTGTGTCGGTCTCCCTCTCTCCTCCATTGTGGGAAAAACATGAGAACGTGTGCATGGAAAGTACGAGCCGATTCTGCTTGGCCGCTATCGACGAGAAACAAAATGATCCATCAAAACAACACTATCCCCTAAATTGATACCAAGGGTGCGGCACTCAAAGCGTCATAATGCTCTTGCCTTGTAACGCTCGTGCTCCTGCTTCGGGGAGGAGAGGGCCCCCTTCGCTGCTGCTTCGTTTTTCCTGAAGGGAAGTTTAAAGCCGACACATGGCCGCTGAGGAGCGACGCACGCCAGAAAGACGCACAGCTTCGTCCCCCAACCCATTTTGCCTTTCAATAATAACGACGTCTCGCGCCTGGAAAAAGAGAAAAAAAGAGACATTTAAGGGTGGGTGCAAACGGTTGATTGGTAGATAGAGTGAGTGAAATGCGCGAAGTGCCGCTCCAATCTACTCTAACTCTGTTTCCAGTTGCAGCTTTACGTGTGTCTCGACAAACTTTCTGGTGTGAAAACGCACGTGCCTGTATCGTTGGCACTTTCATGGCTGAAATCACTTGTCGGGGTTGTTTTACAAGTAACTGGTGTTGTTGCTGTTTCATCCCATCTACCAGCGATCCGACAAAAAAGGAAAAAACTAAGGTCGGTGTTGTGTACCTATCAAGAGGCCTCTTGGCTCTCAAACGTGCGCTATCTCCATTTATATTACAGTAGGGGTCGCACGGAGGAAGCCATCAGCAGCAGCGGACTATAGTACTCTGTTTGATTCGTGAGACCGGTGTGCAGACTATTTTGAGGCCAAAACTACTGTACACGTCAAACAGTAAGATTATGGTAGTTTTTAAGGCCAGGTGTCCTCACTCGGGCCGAAAGGTACACGGTGAACTTCGCGCTCTTGGTGCGATGAAGGACATGCGATGGGATTCGGTTCGCTGTTCGTGTGCCGATGCTCCTGTTAGCAGCGTGAATCTACAGCAGTACAGTTTTTCGTTACAATGGCCGGCCGGATCTTTGCGTGCACGCAGCCTAGACGACATGTATAAAAGCAACGTTTATCTCGCCCTTCAAGCTGTGGTCGATCCACACCAACCACCACCTTATTTCGTCATTCCACCGGTGGGAATCAACATCATCTACAGTACAGCAGCAGCAGCAGTAACTCTGTTCGCCAACTTAGGCTATGTATTCCCACAACATGCAGTAGCTTCAAAAAAATCCAGAACAGCGTGCTTTTACACCTGCCCATGTTCAGTAGTGCGCCAAACACATTCCCACCCCTGGCCCAACTTCAAGCACAAGACGTGGTCGTCGCATCGCTACTGGTGTATTAACCTAGCGCAAGGCAGAGCACACGGGCAGTCAGTGCGAGTTGTGAACGAAAAAAGGAGTCTACAGTTGCTACAGCACTAGATACAGCAGTCAGTCCGATTATTGAGATGCACAGAGAACCCAAGTCCCGGATTGTTGTCCACTTTTGTGGCGAGAGAGCTACCGGAAAAGCGCAAAGGGCTACAACGGTATATGCCCAGTACAATTCCTGCCCGCGACGGGGCTTGTTGCGAAAGCGTGGGCACCCTCTTCGCGTAGCGAGTCTCTAGAATGTGACCGTTCCTGGCAAGCTGTACAGCAACATGACACACAGCATTGTTTTTTTTGCGCCGGGGAGACACTACAGTACACTGCGAAGAGACACAACCGCGTGTCAATCTACATAGCTTCAGGAGCGAGTTACACGCTCTCACGTACGTGCCACCACATATCCAAGGGATGATATTGCCTCTGATATTAGCAAGTGGTGGGATTCGGCTCAAAGCCCCCTTGCTTGCTTTGGACGGGTGCATATGTCGCTGTGCGGCGGGTTTGTGTTTGACTACTCTGTGCGTGTGCACAGCAGTTTCTGCCTCCTCTCAAGACTTCATCCAAAAACCAGCAACAGCACAGCAGGGACGTAGTCGGCAGCAACGTGTGCACCCCAAGTCAAGACGAAGACAAGACCAAAGGAAACTAGCTCAGAATCGCGGCGGTATTCTGGCACACGTGCATGCTCTCGCATGTCGTGATGATATGCACAGCCCAGTTTGCGGCTAAATAAACGATGATTGATCTGGATTTTCCCGCGAAATCCGATCCAGAGTTGTAACTGGCACGCTGCTGTGGTAGGGTTGCCGGCAGAGCAGAGAAGGCAACCGTAGTGGACAGCCAAAAGGCCAAACGCGTATTCATCTGTCCTCTCACCTCTACACGATGCAGAGATCCGGAGCCGTTCTTGTCCACAGCGCAGTCGTTGTGTATGGGAGGCAGATCGAGCTGCTGCTGGGGGGGCCCCTTGGATTCATTATTTTCTGAAACGGCACCCCCCCCCCACTCACTCGGCGGGGGGGCAAAACGGTACTACGGATATTGGCGACTTTGCAGCAAACACCCCTCGGGCCCTTCGAAAAGTACACCCAGGTTGATCGGGAAAGGGTTTTACAGGCACCGCAACGATCGAAGTTTGATGATGAGCATCAATCTTTTTCGGTAGGCGGGGGTCAGCCCTAGCTTTGCACATAGTGAGTGCGACGATGATGATGGTGGATACTGATGGGGCGGTAACTCAAGCGATTCGTGAAAGTTGTTCATGACCCGTGGATCCTTGACGTCCTGCTCAAAACTTATTGAGGCCGATCCCCCGGCGGGGGGGGAAGTCCATTGTATTCGGCAGGATTTAATATGGCATGCATCAACCTACTCTAGGCACCTTCTATTGTATTGTCTGGATATAACTGACAAATATTCTACACAACAGTGAGCGGTGGTATTTGCTTTGTGTGCAAGTATTGTACCTACCGGTATTACAGTGTATAGTGCTCTATCGTTGTTAAGGGTGCAGTATGGTTATACATAAACGCATTACCTTTTACCGCAAGAGTTTTAGACTTACTGACTGGCGATCTTACGGTACAGGCCCCAGCAAAGAATAAATATGTTCAACGCAAAAAGGTTCAAGCTTACCTACTAGGCAGAAGTGAATTTTATTGATGCAGCAGGAGACTCAGATAAGATGACATGGCCGAGGAGGGCATTGGCTTCATCTACAATAGGGGTTGATTCCCCCCCCCTGTTGCTAGTGAGCCGCCGGGAAGGGAAGAGTGTTCCTTGCCCGCCTGAGGCGTTTTGCTGTATCCCCATCCATCCGAAGTTAGTCCACGGTCCACCGCAGGTAGCCGGGGGGTTGCGGGGGTGCACGGGGCCATGAACGTTCTGAAGGATGTTCCGTTCATGGCTAGCAGTGAATCCGCGTTGCCGGTGGATATTTTCTGTGTGCCCCGCGGAGAGGAGTAACTATAACTAGCAGTCAGCTGTTCGGAGAACAGGGCAACCACATGTATGAGACGAACAGCAGCTGCTTGCGGCGGGAGAAAACCAACGGGATGACGAGAATTTTTTCTTCCAATATAGATTTGAGAAGAAAAACCAATTAGACTAGGGCTAATTACAGTACATTGATTGGCTGTCGGTCGCGTTGACACAATTGACGCCGTACTATGTATGACCCGCGGCGCGCGATAGCCGATGAGTGGCACAAGGGCTGAGGGTGGCCGTGGGAAGCAAACGGCATGTGGGGGGAGTCATTCCAAGAGGAGGATGGAGCATGTGCAAGCTTTCGACCGACCTCCAAATTAATGTTCCCCGTTGAGGCCTCCTGTTGTAATCCTAGACCTTATAGTAGCCGAAATCAAACCATTCGACTAGACAGCGCTGACTAGGTTTGATTTCGGCTTCTATTAAAGTTAGTCGTGGGGCTCGTGAACCCTGGCACCTTCACTTCTTCCGAGGAAGGTGACTCCCCTTTGCCAGCGCTACTATCTGTCCAATGTATATTTCGCTTCATATCACGCGCCACCCACATCTAGGAGAATGTTCACCACTGACTTTTCTAGAAGCCGAAATCAAACCATCAGACGCTGACTAGCAATCACGAATCACACGCACGGAATTCCGAAAGAGGATGGTATGGAATCCATCCCACCGACACACGGTACAACCAGGAGACGAACGGCAGTCCGTAACAACCCAAGCCATCGCCTGAGAGCAAAAACAAGCGTCAAGAAAGCACCAGGTGGTCGGTGGTGCGGTTCAGGCGGGGGAAACGTGGCATCGATGCTGACGGGAGAGAGCCAGCTGCAAGATCATGAGTGATTGTGATGTATATAGTCGAGGGGGCGAAAATCGACTGATTGACACCCATCCCGTGGACCTGTCAATGAAATAAACATAGACTATGGCAAGATCTTCGTCCTGTAGTGGCACGTCCAAGTCGCTGGAAGGGGATGTGGAGTCTTTCCTTTCCACGCACTGCACTCTTTCGTTTGAGTGGTCTGGGCAACAACCAGTGTCATCATTTTGTCGGCATCCAACAAATGACAGGGCTCATTACGCTTGGCTCCCGAGTGTACTTGACGACTATTGTGCTTTCTTGGTGCTTCAAGGACTACTTCACCGCACGTTTTTGCTTGAAAAGATTAGAATTGTAGCTATTGTATCCAGAGCCTTCCTGACCAATGACCGAGCGAAGCCGGCGAGCCAATCGCAACCGACCACGAGAGGGACTACCACAAACGTACCTATCCAACCGCAAAAATACAAAAAAGAACCTTAACACAACCAATCAACAAACTTCTTGGGAGTCGATGACTCCTGACCCAAACAACACAATACAATCAATCTTTGCAAAATAAAAATCGACCACTCACGATCAAAGCATGAAACGCGACGTCGATGCAGACATACATCAACCAATTCCTTCTTTCACCAACCTCAACAAACAATCTACAACTACATACCACACACGAGTAAGCACACAAATCATTGAACCTTTCACGACATCGACGACATCAGTCAACAGACCTTGTGGTGAATACTCCCCCACCCGACAAAACTGTGGACCCATGAATCCATCCAAAACAGTGCCACTTCCCCTTTGCCGGGAATCTATCATTCTCCGTTCAACCCTCTCCCCCCCCCCTTCGAAGCTCCTTCGTGCCTGCCCACCTACTTTGCGGTATTGATCTTGGCCTCCTGTTGCTGCTGCTCCCCATGCGAACGCATCACCCATGTCGCAGGTGTGCATTCCGTCCTCTCCGGTGCCCGCTTCTGCACAAAGAATATATAAAAAACAAACAAATACACACAAATACAAACGCCGCAGGACGGTAGAAGACCTGCCAACGGCAGTGGGAACATTGGCGACGAGAGTGGCGGTAGTGAATGCAGGGAAACGATGACAACAGTCCAAAACGAACACGCGTCCAAGTAATAGCAGCCATGGTAAACACGTGCAGTTTTCTTCTGCTATTGCTACGTACGGTATCTGTCCTTAATCCTGAAAGTAACGTAGATTCCCCCATGACGCTCGATCACCGGGTCCAACATCGTAGCGTATAGAAGCATTTGTGTGGTTTCAACCGCACGAAGACTGACGTATTTTCATTGGTCAGTCGATTAGCGCGGTCGATGCTAACTGAGACAAGACACACATAGCGAACCAAGGTGGGTGTGGACGTCGAGGAGGGCTCGTCGCTGGTGGGAATCGTGGGGGGGGGCGAACTCTTATGTTTTGCATACCTTCGCGGTTACACCACTGACCACGCGTCCTCGAGAGGACGTACCATTGTTTCGACAGGACCGATCACCGACGGCCAGTCGCTCCTTCCTACTCTGCCAAAGTTGGCTAAAAACTGGCGCGAATGAATCTATCTCATCGATATCACTTCCCGCCTATTCAATTAACTACCTCTGCCCCAATACTACCGTCTTCTCCTGGCTATTCCATGCCTCAAACATCTCCCTATACCTTCCGTCTGATTTTCCCAGCCCAGTCATCTACACTTCCCTCTCCTGCTTGTACAAACATTCCGCAACTGCATGAACACAGTATTCGCGCTCGGAGCCGCAACCACATTTGAACTTGTGGTTTTCCTCGTCTACCTTCCGAAATCCTCGTGCACGTTCTCCAAGGCTCATGTCCTTGGTCCTGAATTTGACCTTCATCTTTGTCCCTGTATCCATTGGTCCATGTAGGTACCTATTTCTTTTTTCAACAATCGGTACACTTCTAGGGCCTCCTTATCCTCGTTTTCTTTCCTTAGATTCAGTTGTTCTCTCTCGGCAAAAGCAACAGATGTCTTCTCCTTGAACCACTCTAGACCTTCCGTTTCCAGCGTTTCGCCTTCGCCACTTTCGAACTCTTTCCATACGTCATCTACAATCTTGACCCACTCCGTCGGTTGTCTACCCCTCTTCGTGTTTGCCCACTTCGCCTCCCAAGCTATTCTCGGCAACCTCTCCTCTCCCATACCGCACATGCTTTACTGCTATGTCAGCTTCCTTGCGTCTCTTCCCGATCGTAGGGATCGGATCCCCAGTTCTGCCCTGATGGCTGCATAATTACTTGTGCGCTTGGAACATCCTAAAATGATTTTCGTCGTTTTCGCGCCGCCTCGAGCTGTTTGACTAGCTTCTTACTGGTATTTCCTTCCCATACTTTTCCGGCGTACTCTAGCAGCGGTACGATTACGCTCTTCACAACCGCCAATTTGATGCGTGTAGCGAGGTGCCGGTTTGCGAGTATTGGGTGCAGCTTCTCTGCTCGTGCTTTGCCCTTTTCCGCTACCTTGGACATGTGTGCATTCCACGAGCAGTCTTTTCTTGCGATCTCTACTCCGAGATATGTTTGCTTATCCACTGCTGCAAGTTCTTCGACCCCCCACTTCCCATG